GTCAAGCACCTTTCTGGTGGGGAAAGCCCCTGGGGAACATTCTAGAAGCCACTGCCACTTGGAGATGCAGAGGTGGCCAACCTCTCTTGCCATTGCTGCCTAATCTTGTTATAAAATGAAACCCTAACCTTGCAATGTTCAATCATGCTTCTATAAAATCGAATACCAACCTCTCTTGCCATTGCTGCCTAATTTTCCTCTAAAATGATATATCAGCCTTGATGTGACACCCACTTGTCTATAGAATGAGGACCGACCCTGGCTGTTTCCCCCACTTCTCTATAGAATGAAAACCAACCCTGGCTGCTTCAATTAGATAATTCAGATTTTGGGCCTACGATTCTGTTACATTAGTGCCTTCAAGGGTGACCCCCTTTATTCTATAGAGAAACTATGCTGTACACTACAAGGGTTGAAAGCTAGATTCTATAGTGGGGCATTTTGTTCCCAGAGGTTGGTTCACCAATTTATCACTATAGAATGGCGTTCTCAACCCCCCCGGTTATTCAGAGGGGTATGATATATATATATATTATAAATATGCGTGTGTGTGTGTGCACGTGTGTGTCTACGTACGTTTAGTTCATTTGCACTCCTATACAATCATTGCAGAGGTGGCAGGGCGGGGTTGCCGGATGTTTTCTTTTTCCTTTTATGTGTGTGTGTGTGTGTCCCACCCTGGACAAAGGGTTTTCCACCACCATTTCTCCACAAGCAGGGGGCAGGAGTGCCATTGCAAGTCTCCTGCCAACGAAGACGCTTGCAATTGGCAGTGAAACCAGACCTGATCCGTCTGGCGTACCTGCTTTCAACACACTGACTCCACTGGTCCACCCTGCCGCTGTTCGTTGTTTTCATGGTCCTTCATGTTACCACCCCCAAACCCACTGCAGCCTTACAGCTGACTTGCAGCCGCGCTGAGTGTCCGATCGTCTTTTCGAGTGCCACTGCAAACAAAGTTAAACCATACTGTTTTCACTGACCTTTGCGCCCTGCGGTTCCTCGCCTTTCTTCCCAACGTGATACTTGCATTAACTGAAGATCCAAGTTCGAAGTGTGTCCTGCTCAGCCGTCCCACTCGGGTGCTGAGTGTGATCCCCTTCACAGGGGCGCTGTTTTTGCATGGGAAAGCAACCACCCCAACGCTCCACCGATCACTGGAACATCACAGGAAAGCACCGACCCCCGCTTTGAATCAACTGCCACACCGGCCGCCGGGCCAAAAAACGGTTTTTGACAAATCCCTCAGATTCAAAACTTCTGATTTCAGATTTCGGCATTCAGTTTTCTTTTCATGGCTTCCAATCATGTGCGTGTTTATGTGTTCGTTATGTTGCTGCCGCGACTCTCTCATCGACAGCACTCAAGGAAGGGCATTGCAACTCTTCAGCTTAATTCGAGATGCATGAACACACACTTACCAACAAGCTAACGCTTAGCACCACCTTACAACATCCTCACCACCGACACCAGCGCTGACACCTTCAACAACAACAAGACAATACCACTCGGCATTTCTTCGCTGCCTTTTGCTGCCGCGCCGCGCCGAGCCATAGCTACGACCACGACATGCATTTTCCGTGGCCCTACGCTCACACCACGCCACCACCACTACCTACCACACAACCTCAACCCACATGGCCGATGCCACAGCCATCAACTGCACCCACCTATCCCTCGACACAACCACCGGCATACCCTCACCTCCAACCACAACCATTTCAACCACAACCGGTTTTATCCGCCCCTACTGCCACCGCACTGACCTACGGCACACCATCCACTTGGACTTTTGTCCCCCCATGTCACGTGCCACCGCAACCCACACATCCAGCTCCAGTGTTTCCGACAGCAGCACCTCCCCCGTCCTACCTGCTGCCACCACATCATCCCACACCACCAGCTGAACTTCCTCCCCCCACTACACTGACACATCCCCCTCCAACACAGCAACAGACCGCGATTGCCAATTATCCATCCACAGATCCCCAATGTGCCATCCCCCAGGGCGTTTGGCAACCCTATTCAGCCTTTCCCCCCGTCACACAACCTCCACTCCAACCGGGGCCCCCGCCACCGCCTCCACAAATTACCACTGCCTCAACGCCAACCCAACCTCCATTTCAACAGCAGCTACCATCGGATCCAACACCACCGATCCAACCCATCCCCACGACTGCCCAGGACAATCCACTACCAGTCCAAAACACACCGGCCACCGTATCCCAACATTCAGCATCCCCCTCGCTGGTCTCGGCCACACCAGCACCGGGACCTTCAATACCAGCACCAGACAAACCTGACACCACTGCCTCACCAGCACCACAACCACCTTCCCCACAACCACCACACAGCAGTCGCCGCCACCATCACAAGAGCCGACGCAAGTCCGACCATCACCACAGAGGACGCCACCGCCACCGCCGCCGACATCGCCATCACCACCATTCCAAACACCACAGCAAAACCAGGCGACGGCGTTCGCCCTCCACATCCACCTACACATCTAGCCTCACACCATCCCGCAGTCGGTCCCCACCACAACCCATTGATCTACGCCCAAACACCGAACACGCGAACCCTGATCCCTCTCAATATCCCACCACAGCCGTCATCCGTCGCCCACTCAACCGTTGGCGACCTCCACCCAACTTTCACACCCTCACACCCGCAGACCAAATCCTGGAATGGCTCGAATTCCACGCCACCCAACTCGACAATCCCAACAGACCACAACACCAGTACATTGCCAATATCCTCACAGACTGCAACATCTCCTACAAGGAGATCAACGATTTCCGCCAATACACCCACGCTAAGTGGAACGACACAACTCACCAATACGACCAATTCCAGTACTATGCCATTTCACTTCCCTTCCTCAACACCAAAGCCACTACACCCGAGCCACCTGCGGTTTCCCGCGCCACATCAACCCACCGAGAAGTTGCCCACATCAACGCAGGCCACACAGGCCCCGTCGGCAACATTTCCAACATTCTACGCCAAGGCCGTTTTCTACCCAGCACACTCCACTGTGCCAACTACCCTGGATTTTTTGCCCAGGGCGTTCGCATCACCCACAACCAACCCCATGACCACAACGAACTTGCCCGCATCATCCACAACACCTGGCAACTCCACAAGAACTCCCATTCCCTTATCATCACACTCCTTGCTTGGGGTGCCGCCACAAAGTATACCTCTGGAGGTGAGGAACACGCCATGAACTTCCTTAACGACCACCATGGTGCGGTCTTTCATCAGAAGGGCCGCTGCTGGGTGATCCACCCGGACCACGCCATTGTCAAAGGACTGGCCTGGTCCACCAACTCCACCCCACCGGACCCATAACGCCACTGCCACACATCCACACACCACTACCACCTCCACATCCACTTTTGGTCTCACACCACCACTCAACCTTTGCTGTAGCAGCAAAAAAGAGCCTCTTGCAGCAGCCACGGGCATTTTGAACCCTTCATTTTTCTAGCTCCGCAGTATTTGCTGAGAATCTTTTGAATTGTATCGGCTGTTTTGCAGGAGTCTTTCACATGTCAGTTTCTGCATCGTGGAGAGTGATTCTTTAAGCCATGTACTCGATTGTCCAATCTGCATTGCGTACTCACCCTTTTGCCTGTGGGAATTTGACGCTCGCTTAATTCATATGCACGGCCTCGGAATGATGTGCTTCCTCAGACTCGCCGCTTTCCGGCTGCTTTGGCGCGCTGCCGCAGCAACCTGTGACGATTCTTGACTACTGCACACCCCTACATCTCAGCCCCATGAGCAGCAAGCTGACACCTCTACAAAACGACACCGCAACTCTCCTACACAAAACCGCAGTGGCACTTTCCCAGGTGCACAACCTGCTTCGACAAGCAACAGATATTGTAGCA